TTCATCGGTGATGATCGCCTCTCATATTTGACTCCAGGTTCCTCCTAGTTTCTCTCTTTTTTTTCTACGGATTTTCACTTCTTTAAACCTTGATTTTCCTCCTGTAATTTGTCCCAGCAAAAAGGTTGATGCTTTATCATAAAAGATCGCTCATCAGAGATTTTTGATCCATGTTCTTGGATTTAGAGCTAAATATTGTATGTGTTATGATTCACTGCCATGAGCTCTTGATTCCATAGCAGTAGAATTAGAATCGTTTCTGGAACGTTTTGACACTCGTTAGAAAGGGTTTCTTATTCGAGGCACCTCATCGAGCAATTGGATACAAGAATTTGCCTCTCAGTTCATTTGAAGTAATTTCTATTTCTGGATCATAATTGAGCGAGTCTGTCTGGCTAAGTCTAGTTGGAATTAGCTTTTGGTGTCAAGTCAACTAGCCATTCTATTATCTGACCTGTATCCTAATCTATATCCTTATGTCGAACAAACTTGGTTCATTTTCAAGGAAGTTTGTCTTCTTTTTCGTAATTAGAGTTTTCTTGGTCCTCTCTCTATGAGCTGATTCTGGTTTTTGGTTTCACTTTTACTTACTCTTCTTGTAACTATTATAGTTTCTACCTACCAAGCTTTTTTAATTCCGTTGTGTCTATGTGCTTTGGTTGGAATGTCTTAATTTTTCCATATGTTTTCAGATCATTAGCAGAGCCTCTTCTTCTACTGTGTTCTGATAGCCCCATATTTTGTGTGTTTTCAGATCACATCCCTCTGATGGAAAGAAGAACAAATATTTGATCGAAATTCCCCCTGCGGATCACATCTTGGTTGAACAATCCAGAGAAAACCCGTTGTAGCAATCCAAGCATTTTCAAAGTATGGGTTTATCAAGCCTTCCTGGTCCGTCAGAAGGAATGCTATGCATCATATTGGTAAACACTGCATTATCGATATCCGTCTTCAAAGGCATTGTCCGATCAGTCCTTCACGTAGTAGGAATCCATCTCTCACCGCCTTCATCCTCGCCTTCTTCAGTAGCGGCGTCTTCAGAGATTACAACCTTAGAGCCTTTTGATTTCCGGTACTGCCACCCGGAGAGTTTCCTTGAGGAATTCAGGAATGGGACTCCGACACTGAGGTTTGAGAGCTTGTGCAAGTGCAAGAAACAGGCGGACAACGAGTGCTCGGTATGCCTGTCGAAATTCGAAGAGGATTCAGAGATCAACAAGCTAAAGTGTGGACACTTGTTTCACAAAGCATGCTTGGAGAAATGGATAGACTATTGGAACATCACTTGCCCATTGTGTAGGACACCTCTTGTTGTTGTGGCAGCTGAAGACCAGCAGCTTTCTTCCAGTGTTTGGTGACTACTTTTCTTTGTATAGGGTTTTTGGTTTGTGTACAGCTACTACTTTACTATGAATTTAGGCTGCATCGCGGTTGATTCTCCAACAGATGTAGACCGGAGATGGTATAATCTGATGTAAATATCCTGTGAGTTATATATATACCCATGTGTAATGGAGCTCTTGTTTGAACATAGTCTTGATGAATCTCTGTGTGTGTATTGACAAGGAATTGAGAGTTTAGGTTTACAGAAAGTTAATCGGGTAAGGGATAGTGTTTTCAGTTCCAAAAGTGGAAGAATGTGTTTACTTTGAGATCAAGAGCTTAGGTTTACAAAACCTTAATTGGATAAGGTATACTGTAAATAACGTTTTCTATTCCAAGAGTGGAAGAATGTGTATACTTTGAGATTTTAGGTGTTACCTGCAATTTGGGAGTATTTATGAAATAACTCTCTTACAAAATGGGAAAAGATAAGAACATTACTAGTAGTTATTATTAATAATGGTAGCAAATAAAGCAAACCCATAACCAAAATCCAGAATAGATTCAGTGTAAGATGGGATAAGAGTGGCCTACAGCATTTTCACCTATTTACATTGTGCCATACAGGTGTCACCAAGTTTACCAATTAGATAATGGTTCCGTTTAGCTGTTATAAGAGTGGTCTATTTCATGTTGATAAAGTATGCAGGACCAGCACATAGCCTAGTTGAGTATGCTACTAGTATAGTATCATTATGTCACCATCCGGTTTCAAACTCTCATAATGCTTTGACGGAAGAAAAGTAAATAGATTCCTAGTAACAGTCCTTGGGGTATAGATTTGATATTAAAACATTTTTCAGTCTTTTCCATATAATAATTTTACAAAATGCAAACGTAAACACTACCTGTCGAAAAACAATCTAAAGTTTGAATGAGAGCAAAAGCAAAGTTTTTATAGGTTATCTTTGCCCTAAGATACACAACGAGGAAGACAGCTTCACGTATTCTCTCATATACAAAGCCCAAAACTAAATTGTGACCAAGACAATCTTTCTGGTTAAAAGATGACAACACACAGCAAAATGTACTACTTCTGGTACTAGTAGCAGTCGCCAGTCCCTGTGCCATATTTACAAACAAAACAACAGAATGTTAAGTGTTATCAACTGAATCATCTCCTGCTTTGTGATTTCAACAATTTGGAAATGCAACGACAGAGTCTCAATATCCGAGGATATCCCACTCCAACATTATCCATTGCAGATTCTATCTCATTCATCACTTGTTCCGACACAGCACCATCTCTTTTCGTGCCTGAAACTTCTACTAACTCGAAAGGAATTATGTCACCAGGATACTTCCCACTGTTACAATAAAGAACACTCAAAGTTTCAATATCGAAAAAAGTCTTCAAAAATCGATTTCTTCACAAACTTGATACTTACTGGGTCAAACATGCGACATCCAGAACCATGGTTACTTTTCTCAAGTTTGTGCAATCAATGAAACTAATCTGCAAATGAAGCTGCTCCGCTGCAATCAACAAGAACTAGTCATTAAGGGATTGCTGAAATTGAGCATGTATTGGCCACTACTGTCAAACTATTACCACCAAAAGGGAAGTGAGAGAGGAGGGAATCGATCACCTGATGGAGAATCAAAGGCTCCTCGGACCAAGTTTGGTATCTCCATTCGAGCTAATTGTAATTCCTCAGCCACATCTAGCAGATTTTGTAAGACCAAACTGGTTTTCTACATTCTCAGAGCAAAAATGAGACAAACTTCAGATATCTAGCCCAACAAAAAAAAAAATTCCAGAGAAAGCGAACACTATTTGCCGCAAAATATTCATCATGATAGAAAAATACCTAATACAATATGATAGTATGAGAGAACTATAGCAATAAAAAACGATAGTTGGGACAGACACCCACCTGTGTAATCTCCAACAATGTATTAGTACCAACATACTTTTGGGAGTATTCGGCATTAAATAAGGAGTTAACCGCAATTGAAACATTCATCCCTGGGAAATGCTGAAGAACAATGCCATCATTAGAAACAGAAGGAAGAATATGTGTTAATGGAAGGAAGGAAAACAGATTGGTGATCCTTACCTTAAAGAATGTATCACTCAAACTGTTTGATATTAGTACACATGACACACGGCCAGGCTTTAATGTGAGCCTGTATATCCAAGAAATTTTTCAATATATCCAATAGCGCTCATGTATATGTAGCCAAATGTAGGAAACAGACTCCTTAAAAAAAGTTATGGAAAAATAAAACCAATAGGACCAACCTTTGGTTGATCAAGCCACTGTAGTTAAGAACAATGCTCTGACATTTTTCACCCAAACTGTCAACTTTCCAGATCTGCCAGCAGCAGAAGCATAATTCAAGAAAAAGAAAAAAAAAAACTGTTTTAGATCCACATGTCTATAGAAATAAGCCATTAGCTACCAGAATATCCTGACGTAGAAATCTGCAACTCATTTTCTTTTTCAAATTATCTTCAGCAATCTTAATAGTGTCTGCATACGCCGGTTCTCCTGTAATCTTGTTGCATGTATGAACACATTTGATCAAGGTCTTGACTTTTGAGTCCAATACTTTGATATCCTGTGTTATCTCTGCTCTTTTGTTAGTAGTAACCTAGAAAAATATTGATATATAACGAGTCTATTAAATACTTGGATTAAAACAACGACTCAATTACTCAAAAGACACGGAAATAGCATAAGTGTGAGTACGAATGAATGAAAGCATAGCATCTATCTCTTATCTACAAAAATATCATGACCGTGGGGACCAGTAGAATACTTCTGAGATGAAAACAAATACAAATTTTCTACCCGTAGCATGAAAAGTTCATCATTCTGGAAAAAAGGTACTAGGTCTACCATAAACCATTCTGAGCCTGTGAAAGAGTTATGGCGTCTTACTTACAGAAACTTGGAAGACCAGACCCACCAACATATTCCCGTAATGGGTATTTCAACTGGTCTACTTACCTCATGAGTCTCCTCACGATTTAACAAGCCAGTAGAATGGAAACCATGTTGACGTAAGAGCTTGGCACAATTTAACCTCAATATTTCAGATGTTTGTACACCGGTGCTCACTGCTTGAAACTTTTCCTGCATGCCATATAAGTGATATTTGATCAAGCAAGCACAATCAACAGAAAGTCTGGAAAAGAGGAAAAAAAGCAATTACCATCATTATCTCTTGCTTGAGGTGCAGCAACTCAAGTTTGGCTTTTTCATAGGCTAACTTGCAGAGTAATGATCTACTCTCTGCACGTCTGCAATAGTACTTTCAATGAATGTTATACACTTGGCATTAACTTATTCTGAATAATATAAAAAGGCAGTAGAGGGAGAACCTCTTTGTCTTCGCACCACTCAAATCGTCACATACTTTCTACAATTAGAACGAGATCATCAGTTTACTTATCTGTAGGAGAAATGATAGCAGAATCTTTTGTTACGGCGGACCTGAGATTGAATTTGAAGACAGAGCATCTCACACAAATGAACCTTCTTCAAGTGTGTTAACATATCTTCCAGCTTGCATATCTGCACTTTTGGAACATTAGTTCTGAAACTAGAAAAGATAAAAGGAGAACAATTTCAGTAACAAGATTGGATTTCCACAGAGACATATAATATACCAGTCTTGAGGTCAGCTTATCTGCCAATGGAGCAAGCATTTGATTGATTTCTACAGATACTTTTCCTGGTATCTGTGAGGCAGTGGAAACAGTAACTTATTGGTGTGAACAAAGGTTGGACTAACATCCAATAATATACAACAGTACTTACGTCTACCCAGTTTATTACTTGTTCGCGAACTACACGGTAGTTGTTAGCATCATAGTTTCCATCAGGGTGGTCCATCACTGGATTTGGAATATACTGTGTGTTTTTCCTAACTTTAGGGCTACGACTTCTAGCAGCATGATCTACTTCTTTGGCTTTCCTTTTCAATCTGGATGGCCCCTGCAAATTATCGTTCAGAAATCTCGCTCAATGTTAAAAATAGCTCAATGACTTTGATGGAATCTGAGCAAAATATTCAATTTGAATGGCCTCTTAGTGGGTTCATGTGAAGGAATGTTCTGGTTCAGCTGTTGGTGTAAAAAGGTCAATTTGGAGATTTACAACCACCTCAGATATTAACAAGATCTATTGTTCAGAAATGGATTATGTAATCCAATTTTCCCGTGGACAGATACTTCTTCAAAACATGTACATGGGTCTAGAATTATACCTTAGCATGTGAAGCCTTTTTCTTACTTCTGTCTATAGATGAAGAGCCAGATGTACCAAAAGGGTCTTCTGTCACTGCAGGAAAGTCTTCAGTTGAGATAACTTCTGTTTCACAATGGGCATCACTGATGTTGTTGCTTCTGTTTTGATTTTTGTTCAACACGCTGCCTTTCTCTTTTTGTTGAGCAGAGCCATTCGAGAAACCTGACTCGCTAAGTAATACGCTAGATTCTTCAAGCAGAGAATCCACTTTGTCAGATAACGTATTCATAGAATAATTACTAGCACAATCCTTGGTTACGTATCCATCCGCAGTCTCAGATTTGCCAATGTCTTTACTCTGCTGCTCTTTATCAGGAAGAGTAGCAAAATTCTTCGATGCTGACATCGTTGCATTTGACGAATTTGCTAGAGATGACACAAACTTATCAGGGGTGCTGGCTGTATGATTTATTTCCTGCTGTTTTAAGAGTGAACCCTCTATCTCAGAATTAGTGTTTTCTTCTGAACTTATGCCTGCAAACGCATCGCTACTGTCAACAGCAGGGCTCAATGCACCACAACTGCATTGATCTGGTATGCCTTTCTTTTCAGAGACTGGTGTTCTATTATCATGTTCAGATAACAAATCATCCAAGTTAGTAATGGGGATATCTGCATGCTTTTCCCGGCGGACAACTATTTCTTCCCTGCCAATAGTGGATGGGGTAGTCACAGAACGGTGTTCGGACAATTGAAGCTTTGATTTCTCAATTCTTTGAAAAAGAGCAGAACCAGGAGAGGATGGAATCAATCCAAGTCTGGATTTGCTTTTCTGGATGGTTGACAAGCTCTCAACTAGTGCCAGAGTTTCCCTGCTCATAAAGCTTCCACCCTGTTTAGGGGAAGGAGTAACACAAGTTAAGGACTGTGGCAGTATACCAACTAAAGACGCACTTTGCCTTCTAGTAGTTGACGAGGAAAGGGAAGTCTCTTTTCTGTAACGTTGGCTTTCTGATTCCTGCAGCACTATTTGAGGGTGACAGCCAGAACCATAAGGTGACAGCATTTGAGAAGCATCACTGCTATCTACACCATTTTGAGGGGAGAAGGAAAAATCATGGATGGGTGTGTCTGAAGATGCGGGAGGAAATTCTTTGCTTTCATCTGCCAATAAAGCTGCTAGTGTAGGAGATATATGCCCGTAATCATATTTTCGAGAATTTTCGCCCACAATACTCATGTCGTTTGAGTCTTTACCACCACTTCCTTTGTCAACAGGTACATGGGATTTTGGGAATCGCATCTTAGGGTTTGTTAACTCCATTGCACTTCCTGTATCAGATGTGGAGGTAACCTGAGTTGGTGTTTTCTCTTCTACTGGAAGGTGGCTGCTCAAGGGGGTCTGTAACTCTCCAGACTCTGACATTGCAAGACTCCGGAAATGCATTGAAAATGCTGTGGAGTCCATCGTAATATCATGGTGTTCTTCAGAGATGGTAGCGTCCGACAGTCTTCCAGGGTTGATAAAATGAGAAGACACAGGGCCGAAGAAATTGTCCTCTGAGTAGAAAATAAATTGCTTCAGATCAAAATCCGTTCACTAAACTAAACGACTAAGAAAAAAACGTAATTGCAGAAATTCTGTAAAAGAACAGTAATCCCCTCTTATCTTCAAGCATTTATCGATATCAATTGCACGATTCCGAATACAACAAAAAAAAATTGGAGGAAAGGAGACGAAACGGAAGCGTACCGTCATCGCTTCTTGTAGCAGAACCAATAGTGCTACCTCCTGAAGATGGGGAACCTTTAGGCCGCAAGAATAGTTTCTCCACTACAGCCTCGTCTTCACCATCACCATCTCCATCTCCTTCCGTGTCTTCGCTGTTAGCTAATTCTCCGAAAAACCTAATCACTTTGTCCTCAGACTCTGATGTATCAGCTTGTTCAGCGTTTTGCGGCTTCGAGGCGGAGGAGTTGGGCGGCGTCTCGTAATCTTCGTCTCGCTTGAAAATGTGGATGGAAGTAATCTCCCGGTCGGCGAAGCTCACTCGCCGCAGCCGCTTCTGTCGCTGCGCTATAGTCTCCTCTTCCGTTCCGGCCGAGATGTTCATCGGATCTTCCCGGTTTTCCGACTTTCCCGACGCCATGGGTAGGGAGGATTTGGGAATTTTTTCGAATTTTAGGGTTCGAAAGTGAATTATTGGGGATAATATTGTGCGGGAAATGCAGACATTTTTAATTTTTAAGTTTTTCTCCCTCAATTATTCTAACTTTAAAGCTTAAACGTATTGCTAATATAACACATTTTACAACAAAATGATTAAAGGTGTCAATTAAGCCAAATAAATATAGGATTTATTTAGTGGATAACAAAAATGAGAATTATAACTAAACTTATAGCGATAAACTACATTAATAGGTGTGAAGTGGGCTTTCAATCGTTTGGGCCTCCGTTGGCCCATTTCTTCTTATTTTAGAGATAGACTAGCATTAAGTCCCGTGCATCTGCATATGCACGGACATAGGTCAATTTTTTAATCCAGTAAAATACTGAAAACAACAGACTAACCCATTAATTCTTGAGTAATCAAATATTTTATGGTTATACACAAAATACACCTATGTTAAAAAAAACAATACCCAACAATTCACACTTATGCTAAATAATATACTACTCTCCAATGAATGAGATCTTGTTTGCGAGAAAACTTGTTAATGCTTTTGATAGCAATGGTGATTATAGTTCTCTTCCATGATTCATCTCTCCAGCTTAGCCTAGAAGTTATAACAAATGATAAATAAGTAAGAAGGAAGAAGTAAAGGTATCTTGAATATCTTTTAAACACACAAATAAAAAAAAGTATCCTTACTTAATAGATCAAGCAGATGGTGGAAGAAATTATTCTGTGCGGTAATGGATTCCTTCTCGATGATTACAGTCCTGAACAAATTGACGAGTATTATATTTGGAGACAGACTTTAACCAGGGTGAAACCAAAATAAATCAACTTCTACAACATTTTTACCTTGAATATGTATAGCATGATTCATGAATGAGGTTTGAGGTATGTAGATACAAAACTCAGTTAATCTGCATAAAAAGAAACACAAGTCAAAAACATCAACAGAGATAAAAAGAGTATTGGGGAATAGTGAGGTTTCTTTCCCACTTACTATACATCAGAAAAGAATGAAACCGTGTACGACTACTCAATTGTTCACTCAATTTTTTGTAGAATATGTAAGTGGGAAGTTAGTAAAAAAAATGACAAAGAAGTTTTTTGTCTATACGGTATATAAGGTAAAGACAATTGATAACTTGATTAGCGAGAGTAGATAGAGACATTGAAACTTTGATTAGAAGATGGAGCTTAATCCCTGCAATTGGATTGGTTAAACAAAATTATAAATAACTTAACCAAACTAATTGCTAGAGAAAACAATAGGTAAAAGAGGTACAAATTTTTGAGGCAATATAACATATACCCAAAAACGGGTGTTCTTACTTTGCTTTTCTTAGCATATCATTTAATAAAATCAAAAATTACTAAGAACAAAAATTAGAAACAATCTATGACCAATGAACCCGATTGGTATTCAATTATCGACCTTAATAGAATTCCAGAAACGATTTCGAAGCAATTGGAACACATCAAAAAGGAATTAAAAAAAAGGATCAAAGTCAGAGGAGGAGGAAGAAGAAGAAAGAGACCTGAGTAGCAGCGAAGTCCTCGAGAGTACCATCTTAATTGATCATTCTTCTTCCCGATCTCGATCTATTTACAAAGCTTTGTAAACTAATCTTTTGAGAACTCGAGACATAGCTGTTTCCAAAACTCCATCACAATTTGGAATTTGATCCAGAGGAGAGATTGACCCAAAAAAAAAATCAAAGGGAGAGAGACAGACAATGAGAAAAAAATTATAGTGAGAATAGAGACAAATAATTTTTCCGGTTGATTGTGATTTCAAAAATATAGATAAGCAATGAAATTTCAGTTTCTTCTCGTAGATAAGAAAGTGGAGATAGTGAGACGTTTTTTTTCGCCGTGAGATCGTGGGAGGTAAGGATAGAAGAAGAAGTTTAGAGTTTTACTGTGTCTGGTTGTATTGATGGCTCTTGGAGTGTTGGCCCGCTTCTCCGTCCAGCTGGTTGTTCGGCATGGAACCTTCTGGTTCGGATTACGCTCGTATGCTTCAGAGGTTCTTGGTCCTTTGCCGACAGTCATGGCCGGGGTTCTTCCTCCGTTCTCCGTCAAGCCCGGTTTTCCGGCGTGCGGCGGCTAAACCTAATCCGCTAGGGTTGATTTTGGTTCCCTCTAGTGGGTTAGGGCTTTTAGTTGTTGGGCGTCGGAGTTGTAATGGGCTTGCCCCATTAGCTTGGGTATCTAGCCATGCCCAAACCTAGGATTGTTGGCTAGACTCACTAATGTTTTAATTAGTGATTATGTAACCCAAAAAAAACCAAAAAAAATTAGATAATGAAATGTTAAAAAAAAAAAGTTTAGAGTTTTACTTTAACTAGGTGAGTATCCACGCATGGATTTTATTTTCATTTTTTTCTTATATTTTTCTACTATTTTATCTTCAATTTGTAGATATTTATAGAAAAACAAGACAAAATAATTTTGACATATATTATCATTAATGCAAACTAATGAATGTAAGGATATGTAATAAGGTTTTTTTTTTTCATTTCAAATGTGACTTCATACAATAGAGGAAAATTATATATATATTTTTGCTCGGTTAGAATAAGTCCTTTAGAGAAAAATTAGTTATATATATTTTTGCTCGGTTAGAATAACTTTTAAAATCATAAACAACTTGGACCGGAAGAACACAATTTTTATTTCAAATATAGGTAGAAGTTCTGGTGCGCCATGTGGTAATCAGTAGGACTGTAGCTAGGAGTGGGACGTATCCGGATATCCTGTAATTTCAAGATATCCGGATCCGTGAGATTTTTGGTAAAACTATCCGGATATGTGGCCTCCGAAAATCCAGTCTTTGAATATCCGGCCAAAGATCATGATATCCGCAGATATCCGGATCCGAAATTAATATTAAAAATAATTAAAATAACTAATAATAAATAAATAAATAAATTTGTCAAAATTTTGAATGATATTTTTCATAAGAAATATAATATACTATAAAAAGAATTAAAATCAATATATATATATATATATTTATAAGAAAATAACTTAATCTATGTTAAAAATATATATTTAAAAAAAATATAATATATTTAATGCGTTCGGATCCGGAGTCAAATATCCGGACCTTAAAATTTTGTTATCCAAATTCGGATCCTCTTTTCACGGACGCGAGATTTTACTATCATTATCCGGATCCGGATTCTCCCGATATCCTATTTTTCAGAACGGATTTAAACGGATACCGAATCGAATCTCGGTTGCGGATAATAGTTCCACCCCTAACTGTAGGAGTACCTTCTTGTTTATCGATAACCCTATAAACAAGGGTTTGTAGAACAAGGTGATGCTTGAAGTGAGTTCTCGATTCTTTTTGTTTTTTTGGTCCTTAGTTCTCGATTCTTAAACATGCAAAAATAAACCTAACTTGCAAAAAAAGTAAAGAAATTTTCTGAAAATGCAAGGCCATGGACGTCTTCATCCACTGTTAAGTTTGTTTTTTCCCACCGATTCTTTGTATTAAAAATAAAATTAAAACCACATATTCAGCCTTATAAATACCTATTAGAAAGGATTCTTCTTCTTTTACTCCTCCTAATTTTCTGTTCTTTCTCATCTTTATCGCCTTGGAAGGAAAACGGAAGCAGAAAAATCAGCAAAAGACAACCCTTAACTCTTCTTAGAAAAACACCAACATCCCTTTTTCATCCCCTCCCCAACTCACAGTTCTTAAGCTTTTCAAACCAAACAACGAATAGGCAACGACTTGGGATAGTAAATTTGAAATGAACATATTTATTTATATACTTAAAATGATTAAATGATAAGTTTAATTAACTGGAATGTATATAAGCAGGTAACAACAAAGAATAAGATTAGCAACCACTTTTCATGTTTTCCTGCTTTAACTATATCATTGCAGGTTTACCAAAAAAAAAAAAAAACTATGTCATTGCAGTTTATTGTTAAAAAAATAACTATATCATTGCATATAGTTGTTTTTTTGAAAACCTGAGATCGCATGACAAATAGTTGTTTTTTTTTTTTACCTCGGTTTAAAAAGTCCATGACAAGGACTGCTTCTGCGGAGATTGTGCATATAACGTAACTATGATCTTTAGTCTCACAATGCGTGCCAACCTCAACCCGCCTTACTGTCCTCGTTTGGTCCGTTTCAGCTTTTCGGGACAAGCAGATTACCAACATCGTGCAATTGCAAATACATGATGTACTCTACAGAATATAGCGAGAGAGGAGTTCGAGTCTCCAAAGCTCCTTTTCCATACCTCCTCCAGTCTTGGTAAGCGTCATTGGAGTTATGTTTTATAAAAAGCTCGAAGCGTTTAATTCCTTCATAGAGTCGTGAAGAGCATATGTTCCAGAGGAGTCCAGCCGCCATCACCCGCTAATGGCCATGAAGACAAAGCTCGTGCTCAAGTGGTCCAGAGATTTCTCCAGATAAAACTTCTAGATTGACATGTAACCAAGACAACCCAAATCTAACCAAACCTAGAAGGCAGAGATTTCAATCTAGCGTCTGTGTGATGTTGTCATCTTCATCAAAGTGCCGCAGCGTTCGAAGGAAGAGATGTAGCTGACTTTGAAGAAACTCCAAATTTCTTTTTCTTCTCGATTTCCGGTGTTTATGTTCACTCCATACCACAAGAACTAAGAGAACACCTCGTCTTAGTAGCTTGGTTCTTAATCTATCTGCTTTTTGCATTGAGTGTAAGTTTCTTTTCCAGCTAGAATAACTTAACAATCATGTCAATCACTTAGCCGACTCAGAAACTCAAAGGCTAATAAGTACTCAAGGCAGCAAGAAGTGGGATAAAAGACTCACGGGTCGAACTATATCCCTAAGCTGCACAAGTTCAACAAAACGAGTTGTTGAGGAGGCGTAGCGGTGACCGAGAAAGAGTTTTGTCTGAAGTTTTCCCAAAGGAACAATAAAACCAGAACAACAATACCTGTACATTGCTGTTCCGAAAGCTTAGTGACATAAAAGAACGGAAAAATGGAATTTTATATTCAAATTGTGTCAATGACTCAGCTCCAGCGTTAATTGCAGCATTTCCTGTAGTTTTCAGAAGATCTGGAGCACCATCACTGCCTCGAATCACCTCAATCAATCTTGGTACGGTGAAGAACGTCGAGATACCTGCGGCTGCGGCTGCAAATGCAAAATAAAATAATTTTTTAAAACCATGAGACAGTGCTCGGAAACTATCGCCAATATCTTCCCCGCTTAACCTAGCCTGCACAAATATTGGAAGAAGTTTTGCCAATGAGAAACTTCTTCTTGGAGATAAGAACAAAACAAGGGAAAAAGAGAGAAGTATAAGACCTCTTCTTGCAACTCCTTAAACTCGGATAAAGCGGGAAAGGATGCTAAATTAGGATCACTAAGAATCATGGTAAACTTCAGATTATAATCTCTTAAAGCGATTCTCAAACAATCAGCAGCTCTACCTCGAGACCATAAACAATAGAGGATGAGTTAAAAAGAGAAAAGAATCTTATCTAGATCTTCCAAATTCGTGAGTCTTCGGAGATACATGGGTACAGTTCGAGGTTCTTACCAGTAAGCATGACAACATTCTTTGATATAATTAGCCGCTTGTGTGACTCAATAGGATTTGGATCCAAACTGGACAAGAGCATCTTTGACCTGAAAGAAATTCAACCAAACAAATCATCTGGATCACTTAACCAACAAAATGTATCGTCTCTCATCAACATTGCACATTAATTTTTTTTGCAGTTTTGAATTTACGGGTGAAGTAACTAAATTTCATTAAATTAGGGTGTATCAGCTGACAAAAAAAAAGGGTATATCAATTCTGCACAATCATTCAAGCTCGTAGAGAAATTCTCTTAAGATCGACTGAAACAATTTCATCCAAATCGAGTAGAACTAACCCGTCCTCTCTTGAAGAGATCGAAACCCTAATTACCGCACAATTCTGGAGTGAGACCATCCTTCAGGATAATTTGAAGGAGAAGAGGAAGCGAAAAGAAGATGGGAATCCCAATTCTGGCGAGAATCAAGAAGGGCACATCTCCTGGAAGTAGCCATTCCCCGTCGTTTCTTCATCCTCCAGTTTGGGTTCGAGACGCGGCGGATGAAATGGCGGTTTAGATTATCATCAGAATAGCCAAATACTCTGCAATCTCTAGAATTTGTAAGCATTGAAGAACAACGTTTGAAATCCGAAATCGGGGAAGATGAAGCGTGCGGAAACTGAAAAAGCATAAATGGGTCAAATTTTTTTAGGTTGCCACGTCTCAACTATATAAAGCGCCACGTGTCCAAAAAATGGAGAGTGTCCTTCTTCTCTTATGTAGTAGATGTAA